TAAAACTCCTTTTACCACCGGTATGTTCCTGATGAGCACTGTGCCTCAGTCCAACCTCATGACGCAGTGCCTCTGGCTGCAAAGGGAGTTCTGCTCCTACCACACTTTCGTTTAACCCTGTCACTGCCGCTGTCCTGCAGTGGAAGGGTTGATAGCAGTGTTACATGATGCTGTTTTTATTGCCTTTTGAAACGTGTACATTTTTGTTTTTTTTCCTTTTTAAACCCAGATTGCTGCTTTTTCATTTTTTTTTTTAATATGTTGCACTGGATGGAGGGCCTGGGTGGGGAAAGGGAGGGGAGGGGTTTTAGGTGTAGCGCAGACCCACGTTTATCCCATTTTTTTTTTTGCCACTTGAATTTCTTCCCACTTGTACAACTAAGCACCAGACCCACTTATCAAACCTGGTGCGTCACTATACTGTGGAGGAAGCCATTTTGTGTCTTTGGCCAGCATTTCATTGCCATGTTTTCTATATAATGGCTTCTCGTGTATTGATGAAAAGGCCTGAATATTGGACATTCTAAACATAATGCGTATATTTAAAAAAAAAAAAGCCTGTGGAGATGTCCAGTTCTAAGACTTTCGGAGGCCTAGAGCTTCCATGTTTCCATGCTTAAAATGCAAAGCTTTCATGAATAACATGTTCCAGTTGTATGGTTACTTCTCAATGCCATTAATCTAGCACTTGTATGTTGGGTTTGCACTAGGGCTGTCCCGTTTTAGGTCATGGCTTTCCATACATTTTGGAGTCTTCTCGGGATGACGGCCATACTCCCCAAGAAGATTGAACATTCAAGAATTTTACCTTCTGGGACTGGCGCAGTTCTGCATCGAATGATAGATATTTTTTTTTATAGAAGCTTTGAAGGCCCTTTACGGTTTTTATGGGAGATTGTTGCAATATTGGCAGTTCCTCGATACTGCGGTTTACACTCGTGCAAAGACGAGACCTTGCAATCCTTCAGCAGATGTCCTTCCTTTCATTGCCTCCTGTCTTGCCCAAGTCTTAGGTTTCTTGTTTTATTGCACAGATAAAGAATGGGGAGGAGGACCAAAGTCAAGTTTGTGGTCTGCAGCTAGTTTTCCTTACATTCCTACCTCCTCCCCGGGCCCCTTTTTTTTTTTTTTTTGGATCATTAAG